GACTAGAGACACATTTTGTTCCCACTGAAAGCGCAGCAGTTTCACTAGCACTATTTCAGATACACTACTGCAGCTGTCAGCGACAGGAATTTTCACGGCAGTTGAAGCCCAACCACACTCAAAGCCTGCTCCAAAGAGCAATGCGGTATATTGGCTCTGCACCACTTTTTTCTCTCAGCAAGCAAATAGAAAAATAAAGTCGTAAGAGGAAGCCAAACCTGGCCACAGCAGAGAAGTGAACGGACTCGGCCAGGCCTTCCAAAGACGCCGCGCACGCCAAGGTTCACCTACTCTGGCTGACTTGCCGATCCCACGGAGGTGAAACTCCCCGCCTCCGAGGCCAGGGTGTCTGCTAACAGGAGGGAGCACAGCCGCTCCCTGTGCTATGTGCAGGCTGCCGGTTTAACAACCAGCTGCCAGCAACAAACTGTTCAAACAGCTCTCAAGATCTGAGCATGGCTCTGTTCCTAGGAACTTGTCTGGCCTGATACAGTATTTTAAGCCAAAGAAATCTTGACTCTACCAAGTGAAACTAAATCATCTGTACAGCCACCACTCTATGGAGATCCTTTAGCCACGTCTTCACTCCTAATATTACCTTTGTTAGCAAGAGTTCATCAAGCTGTAACACAAGTTACAGCTGCATATGTAAAATAACACATGCATTTGAAACAGCCAGGCTTGCAGCCCTCACTGCGACGCAGCCGCATCAGCGCACTGCATTGCAAACAAGTGCATTCACCTGAACGGGGAGCTCTGAAGAAGAGAGCCAGCTGCGAACAAGAAAACAAAGACATTTGGAGGAAATTTTCAGTCAAGTCAGAGTTTCAGAAAACTTCACATTGAAATGTCTATAAAATAACAAACGTAATCAAATGAAAAAAATTCAAAAAAGAAAACTGAATTATTTCCATGACAATTTTCCGTTTCTTTTACCACAAGGGAAGGCAAAAACGGTTCAGCGTCTTTCAGGGGCATATCCTGTCTGATTCGCAGTTCTCAGGCTCTGATTTGCAAAGTTTCTCTCACTTTTTCTTTTTTCTTCCTTTCTTCTTCCCTTTCTTTTTTTCTTTCTCTTTGTCTCTCTCTCTTTCTTTTTTCTTTGTTTTCAAGAAAGTGAAATTATCCCTGAGAAGAAGATACTCAGACTTTGCATTATTTTTCTGCTTGTAAATTGCGATGTGGGGTGTGGGGGGGACACGAAGTCCCAAAAGAACACGTTTTGAGTTATTTCAAGTTTTATACAATAGAGACTCAATTACGATTCCTCCTAGATCTTAGGAGCCCTCTTAGATCTGCTCAGGAGGGAGAGGGCGCCCTCTCCCTGGCTCCCCTTGCTGGTTTACCAAGGCCGAAGAACAAGGCGGGCCCAGCAGGCAGAGCGTCCCCGCAAGGCTCGGCCCCTTCAAGGGGCGCAGCGCGCGCTGCAGAGCCACAGCACGCTCTCCGCGTCGGCCCTGCGCCTCCCACGCCTGGCTAGCACAGGTTTAATTCTCAGTCCCATAACAGAAACCCATGGCTGGTATTTCAGTATTAAAAACCCTCATTGTCAATATCAAACGCAACTCAAAGCAAGACGACCGGCCTGCAGTTGATGAGGATGTTATGGGGTCATTGATTTGAAAATACTGTATTTCACAATGTATTTTGGAGGTGGGAGATTATCCAGGTGTTCTTACAAAGACAAAGTATCAGACAGATTTTCCTGCAAAGGACTTTTTCACCTTCAGGTTTATAAAGGATTTCTGACAACAAATCGTCAGTTGTTCCTCTCCCCCCAAAAACGCATTTGTTCTTCAACTGACAGAGATTCTCGTGATCAGATTTTCATAGAATTATACTTTCTAAATGAACTAACAGGGTGTTTTCTCTTCCTTTAAACAGGTTCCTTTAATACGTCCACCAACATGTCTAACGCTTTTCTTTAGATTAAGAATTTTTCCCCACAATTAAGAAAAGTTAACTGAAATTAAGAGCTCAAATTTGAAGAGTTCGATTATCGGAATGATTCAAGTATTTATTGCTTCTGCAGATTTAAACTTCCTTACGGGCTTTATTATCATTTCACTATGACGCTTTCCCTGTGTTCCAACTGGATCTTCCTCTCAAATCCCACCCTTAAAGTCATTCTGAGCTATTGTTTCTCCAACACGAACTAGGGATTTTTTCATTAAATACTCTAAATTCATAGGCTTTATAGTCCCTCTAATATGGCTTTTTTAATAAAGACAAAAGTTTTTGTTGGAACAGTAGCAGATAAAACAGGGATCAGAAACACAGCTGCACCGAACTGAAAAAGGGAGAAATAAAAATATCTGTATTTTTCAAAAATAATAATAATTATACTTAACTTGCCATCAAGACAAGGCTGTAAATCATGGTTTAGCTGTCCTTATTGATCCAACATAAACATAAGGAGCAAGCTGTGCAGTGCAGTGCAGGGTAGGGAAAAAGAAATGGTTGTGGCATGTTTTAGATCCCCTGAGTCATCTTTCCTGGCACAGGGTAGAGGGAGTCAGAGCTGCTGTGTATGAAGCAAGGAGATGAAGGTGGGATGAAGTGGCCCACTACTGACTGTGCCTTGTCAACGGTAGCTTGAAAAAGGATCCATCAGAGCTAATACATCACGAGTCTTTGAAGCCATGTTTTAGGAAGAATCATTTTGCCTGCAGAATATGTCTTCAGCCATATGATTGCTGGAGTACCTAGCCCCTTTTCCTGCCTGAGTGCCTGGTACAAAGCGTCAGAGTTGCACAGCTCTGAAACTTCCCTTTGGGCAATTTCACAATGCCTAGCACAACAAACTAAAAATATAGAACATTCATAATTTAAGTTAAAGAGTTACAGCTCAGCAACACTTCAGTACACTCACAAAAGTTAAAACCAGGACGAAGGCATGTTTCTGTATTAGAAACAAATACTATTTCCTCAACCAGGAGTCAGATATTAACCTACCTGAATCTGCACTGACTCAAGTTTAGCTGCAAAAACAGCTAATGCCAAATGTGAACAACAGCTGCTCATCTAAAGCAACTACAGAGAGCGTGCTTTAGAAGAGCACATGGAAACGCCCATTTCTGCATACAGAAAAAAGGAACCTCACACACTTGCAACACTCCTTGAGTGTAACAGGAGAGTCTCCTAAAAAAATAAACAAACAATGACTTCTAATACCTCCTTCAACACATCTTTGGAAGCATCTTTATCATTTCCAAAATAGGCATTTTGCTTTTCTGCGATGAGGCAAGGCACAGAAACCCACGAGCTAGCTCCGAGAAAGCTATCCACAAAATGCAGCTCAGCAAGGGGCTCACTTGGTCCCCAAGAGCAATACAGTGACATTAGCATGTGCTGTCTTCCAGCCAACTCACCCAGCCTGCACCACTCCCACTTCCAAACCTAGTATCAGGCTCTATTCTGCAGGGCAGACCTGACCTCAGTTTATTGAGACTCAGCCTTATAAGAGGAATCTCTCCATCAGGAAAGGAATTTTCCTGTTCCATTTCCACACTTCTCTTATTTTGCCTCCCTTATGGAGTTGCGAAAGCAACCCGACACACATTCAATTAAAGACTGAAAGAAAATAAAGCGTATACAGAGCTCTAATTGCCCCACAAACCTTTAGAGCAGGTGCATAATCAGGAAACTCCTGCTGCTGCATCAGTTTTAGAACTTATAGGGGCAAGGTGTGAACATAAAGATAAATCATAGTACAAACGGAAACCGTTATTTGTAATGAAGTCTGCTGCAAAGATAAATTCCTGCAGATGTCTATAAGATACTAAAAGCCATGGCATAATCTGTTACATCTATTTAGTTGTGCGGAATTGTGTTCTGTGCAGCTGCTTACTCAGAAGGCAATAAAAGCCACATCCAAGAGAGACTTAAAGAAAATCCATATGAATTCTCTTCCTTCTGCTTTGTTCTACACATATCCAGAAAGGATAAGTGGATTGGAAGTGGATTGGCCTATATCCTGATTGAGCCCATATCCTATCTTCCCAGGTAAGACTTTCTGCTTGCATATGGCAGGAGACATGGCACAGAACACATGGCTCAGCCTTAGTAAAGGAGTCTATGGATAACTTTCAGTCATCATTGTAGCGCTGTAATACTGATTCACTCCAAAGGATAGAATGGTCTCAGAATAATAAAGATAGCTAGCCACAATATGCATACATACTTTCGTATGCTTAAATCTTCTTTGTTCTTCGAAGTTTTGTGGAAGAGAAATTTTTAATGTTAATTTAAAAATAAGACATAAACTAGACTCCTTTGAGCCCTGAGACATATTTGAAAAATAAAATGCTATTTACCTCATAAATAACTGAGGATCTGATCTGAGGCAGGCCAAGCCGTTGCTGACAGAAAGATGAATAAATAATTATTCCACAAAACATGTTTCCAGAGGAAGGCTGCAACCCCAACTTGCTGAGATTTTACCCTCTAAACGTTAGGAGTCGGGGGGGGGGGGGGGGCAAAAAAACCCCTCCCATAGTCACCATCCCAAAAGTTGAGCACGTCAGTAGAAAATACAAATTACAGAGAGCAGAGAGTCCTAAACTGAATGCATTGTGACCATGAGTCGGATGCTAAGCTAGGATTAAAAATAATAATAATAATAATAATAATTCCATTTACTGAAATGGAGTTCTACTGAACCTTTGCCATGAAAAGATATAGACTCAAAAGTGAACAAGTAAAAGAAAAGATAACTAACTGTGTAGTAGTTGAAATACTGTTGCAACCGTGTAAGAAGCCAATGAGTAGTAGTATACCAGTCAATACAATACTTAAGTGCTTTCATTCTTGTGTACTCTAGGCAATACTGGTGTGAGATATTTACTTGCCCTCCGATGGATAAATTCAGCACACGAAAATGGAAGGATCAACAAGACTCAAGTAATCAAAGCCTGGTGGCTTTGGTTGGGTAAAAAGCACATTTTTCTTTCCAAAACACAGTCTGCTTAAAAATACAAAAGCAAGTCGTCTTCCCTTACCTTCTGCAAAAGGTTCCCATTCATAAAATCGACCCATAAATGGTTTGTTATTGTACGATGCACATTGCACCTGTCTGATATTTCTGCTGCTTTCAGGACATATCTGTTGAAACAGAATACACAAATTCAAATTATTATTTATCAATAGTAATATCATTACTGGTTTCTTACTAATTAATTTTAGAAGGTCAATGAAGGCACTGCCAAATTCTAATCCATATGAACAACTTTAACATCAAGAGATTCCTTTTCTTTAACAGAGGTAAAAATGAGAAATGCATGGGGGAGGGAGAAGAGATTCTGGTTCTTCTCCGTTGTCAGAATACCCCTAATTCAAGCAGGTCTTGCTGTGAAGAACTTCCGTTAGGAATTTTAGTGGCAAGCTTAGCAGCAAATTCATCTCCTTATATTCAGTCTGTGGAATGACTGCTTCTGTGGCTTCACTCATACCATTTGTATTGCATAGACAGCAACATGTGAAGAACACGCTGAAGCTGAACAGACTTAACTCCTCGACTAGTCCTGGTAGCAAGCAAAATAACCCTTTTGTGGTACTCAGTAGCAGTAGCAAAAGACACCTCTCAGACACGCAGGTAGTGTCTTTGTGGTCTTACAGAATTGATATTATGCCTGGTACGGGTACAAGATATTGATCTTGCATTACAAAAAAGCAAGAAAAACTAGTATGGCTTGGGTCATTGACCTAACGAACACCGTACTTCTTAGTTATAGTGTTAAAAGGTGAAGTGCCTGTAGAAAAGTACTGGACAGCTTTGTGCAGTTCATGGAGTAAAAGTTCTGCAAAATAAGCAAATTTATTATTGAGCTGTCTTTTTCACCAGCAAAAATAAGATACTTCAAGATAAATTCAACAAACTAGATCTGAAGCATTTCCTTTCCACAATAGCTTTACATTTTTCATTATTAATCTTCTGGACTCAGATTCAGCACAGCTGAAACACTTGCATGCTTTCACGACATACTAAAAGTTGGCCATGCCATCTTCTTATTGTGCCTCATCCTACACTTCGGTACTCTATTTCTGCTTTTTCTTTTTTACTTCTATGCCTTACTATTACAGCCAATTACATTACTTTGCATTTTGACTTGTGCCTCCTTCAACTGCTAGCTTCAGAGTTCATGAAGCTACAGAATGAGAACTCCTCCTCCTTAATATGCACACTTCCCCCCATGCGCACGTGCCTGCACGGAGGCAAGACGAGGTTTACAGGCAGAAGTCAACATCTTTTATTAGGTCACCTGCATTACAAGTTTTTGGGCAGATTTGAAACAGACTCCAAAGCTAAATACAAGTTAAATACTTAAATATTTTGCTCTGTCTGTGTCTTCACTCTATCACAGTTAGAGCAAAAGAGTGCTCTGCATAGACACACGCACAGAGGAGCAGGATTTGTAGAGAAAAGGGATTTTAATTAGAGCAATTTGTATGCTGGGAGAAAATACACAAGTTTTGGTCATACATGCGTTTTTTCAGGTAGCCTTAGATGATCAAAATGGCTGTTAAAAACACTATTACTACACAGAAGTAGTGGAAATCACACAAAGAACTAAAATTGAACAACAAATTAATTTTTTTCTACAGGAAATAGATTTCAAGGAAAAAAATGGATACAGTATTATATAAAAGCAAGATGGCTAAACAACTGTTTTTGAGGTTGTAGTAAGAAGATAATCTATAAGAACAGATCCTCCTGCAACTGTAAGTCATTTCTCTTATATTAGCCTAGGGAGAAAGTTTGGTCATCTTTGCAGTGAAAGGCAGCCTACTAGAGGCCCCAGAGTGAGTTGTCCCCAGAGGAGCGCTTGCTTTGTACCTGCCATCTGCAGGTGAAGATGCATCTAAACTGGATGAGTGAGACATCAAGGCCAAGTGTTTTCCAGTGAGCAATAAACTGCACCAAAGACATGCCCACGTGCTGGTTCACAGACTGCTTGATCTCCCATTAGAATCAGAGGAAAAAGTCTTCTGGAATAAACATTTATGGCCAAACAGCCATCTGTGCTCTGTTCATCCACCCTTCTGAGATCTCCAAGTACACGCAAATATTGTTTTCCTCAACAAACCCTCACAAAAAAAAGCAAATAAAAAAGCCTCACTGAAAATACAGCCATGGGTCAACAAATAACATTGTAAGGGTGGGACAAGAAGTCTTTCTAGTGCCAAACACAAAAGCAAAGCTATATTCCCACAACTGACATACGTAGCCTTAAATCTGGGACACAGCAATGCAGCGAGAGTTAATTCAGTCACAACAAACAAACAACCAAGACTAGTGGGCTTTAACTTTTAATGCAAACTAATCATCCCATGTATCCTAAAAGTGAAGGGCCAGAACCTGAGATGGCATAAATTAGGGCCATTCCAGTAAATTACAGCAGAATGATGTCAAGTTGCAAAGAACCCAGCCCGAAGGGTTTCTTTTTAGAATGCATTTGCCTTTTCTTTTTTTTCCTTTAGTCCAGATTTTCTGCAAGTCGGTTGTGAAGTTTTGTTGTTTCTTGTTTTTCCTTCTCCAAGCCTTGAGCTTGTGCTCTTGTGTATCAGTGTTTCTGGCTCATAAACCACTTCCTGGACACTCTGTTCATACCAAGTGCAGACAACGTATGAATAAAGAGATCAAAATATTCAGTGCTGTTGCCAAAAAATAGTGCCTTTTCCCCCTTCTCAGATTGTTTTTATATTGCTACATTTTCTGTTTTTAAACTTACAGAAAGTTGACACAGGACAGAGTTCCCATTAGTTTAAAGCAGGACAAAGGACTGAAAAATACACTTAATACACTGAATGGAACAAGCCTGAACTACATGAAAAAAAGAGTAGCTCAACAACATCCCTGCGACTTTTAAAAGTCTCAGCACAGTGCTATGAAAAATTCAGTTGCCCTTCCTTCATTTCTTTCACCAAAATGTAATAACAACGTAAAACTTTGTGTAACAGTTGGAGAGAGTAAGCTGGCCTGCAAGAATTCTTTGCTTTATTCTTTGTATTACAACCATTTTAATTCTCAATTTTTAATAAATATTTTAGTAAAGCCTTAACTACAAGGTGCAAATAGTCAAAGTAACTACTATTTATGAATTACCAAGGGTTAAGATATCTATCCTCTACTCTACAAACATACTAATTAACATCTGTTTATCATTTACTAACGCTTCCTAAATTCTTAATACAGGGTTGAACAAAATGACATTTTTAGGTAGCTTACTGCTCAGTCTGCCTGAAAATTAAATCCTTGAACACGTGTCAAAGAATAAAGTGCCATGCACTCTATCTTCGCCTCTCTGGCCTTTTTAGCACACCTTTTGGACAGAAATAACACCATACCCCTATACAATCAAAAGTGAAGCTTTAGTGAAGGGATTCCTATAGATCATCTACTTTGATCTATTCTCTGAGCGTACGTCAATTTTTAGGCTCTTCTTTAATTATTTCTATCACAAATAGTTATAGCTTGACTACAGAACTCTTCAAGGACAGCAATAAGCATCTGTGATTTAAGAGGAGCCAATGCAAAAGAAAGCTATTTACATTTGCTAAAGGTTGCATTCCCTACCCCGCTCGTCCCTCGCGCCTCTCCCCTCGCACGAGGCTGGCACGTACCGCAGGAAGGCGGAGGAACGCCCTTCCCGGCCCTCTGCCGAACCGATATAAATATTACTTGCAAAAGCAGATATGCTTACAGACGAAGACTGTTGCTGTGGTTAAGCCACAGGACTAGGATTTAAAAGATCTGGATCTGTCCCCTAACTCTTCCCGAGGCTCCCGGTGTGACCTTCACTGAAGTATCTAACCCTACTGGGGGACTGTCCCCCGGCTCCCCTCCTATGACACTGGTCAGCATCCGGTTGCCTGACAGGGATTTGAAGTTAGATTTTTTTTGGGGGGGGGGAAAGAATTGACTTTGCTTTATTTTTTTGTTAACAGATCTTGAATTTTATTTTTTTCCTCAACAACATCGTTCTGTTTTATGATTACTGAGGGAATTAGCTACAGTCTTTCATAGAGGTTTTGATATAAAAACAGGATGACCTCTTTAAATGTTTGCACTAAAAAATTCTTCTTTTAACCAGGTTATGTGGAGACCAGATGAGCAAAAACTGTACTTTACACATACTAAGAAAACTCTCAGATTCTGTTGTGTAGCACCAGATATAAATTATCTATAAAACTATCTTATGCTGTGAGGCTCTTCTTGTAATCTTTCAACTGTACATTACAAAATTAGAAACAGAATCTAGAACCCATAATTTTGTATGTTTTTAGATGATGTCTCCTACTTAGAATATGCTGGCAAAAAAAAAGCAACACTCTAAATTAGTCGAGCAGGGCTTTATTCAGCTAAGTACTTTCAAAGTGCTAGACATTTTCACAACGTAGGAGGCTTTCAGAGCTTCCGCTGCCTCAGTTTGCTGTGGCTATTTCAATGAAGCTGATGTCTCAGCCAACTGCTCTTCTTGCGCTTCCGTAACGTGAAGTTACAAGAGCAGCAGCACAGCACTTGAAGCAGAAAGTGTTTAAGATGAAATATTTCAAAAGCGCCTGTTTGTCTTTGGGGATCTCAGGCTGAATTTCCTGAAATGCGCCACGTCTGCAATTGACTCAAACCTAGCATTTCTGAAACAGTAGCCTTATTTATGCCTACGTTTCAACTGCGAGGTGTGGCTATGAAAGTAAAGCATTCTAAGATAGAGCGACACACAGTACTTCTTTGTCATGTACCATTACTATTTCTTTAAAACTAGCAGCTAGTATAGCTAAGACTGTAAAACAAACTGCCATATTTGCTTTTTAACTTTCAGAAACCACTTGAAAAACAATTTCTTAACAGATCTTTGACTCCTCAGTTAATTCCTGAAGCGTTGGCAAAATGCCAAAACTTATCAATCTCCCAGCTGATCTATACTCGCACTGGAGGCATGCCTACCATTAGCAAAATTGTTTCAAAGATGCACTTAGATAATGCACTTCTGGAAAAGCATAAACGGGTCATTTTGATACTGAAATCGCCTCTAAAAGCAATTAAAATATTGCCTAAGATTTTTGGCACTGTTTCAATCTTATGACCTACGGGAACTGGCAAA